GTTTCACTTGATTTTGAGACTTAAAAGGTATTCATGCGACTCCCCTAGTGGTTTAGACTCGTTTTGGTTAAGGTTGGACGTCGGAATAAGCTCGACTGTGGGTTTCTAGGTTTAGCCGATTTTTCCAATGATTTTTTCGGCCAGTTTCTGTTAGATTTTGGACTTCAAATAGGTAAGGTTATGTTCTGCTCTCTGAGAGCTTCAAATCCATATAAAATTCATGAATTTTGGTTGAAAAATGAGTGAGATATTGAAGTTTGAAGTTTTTCCATAAATCTGCGATACAGACGGCGGCCGGCAACGGATCCCGACGAAGCACCGAAGAAGAAAGGAGCATATTCCATCAACTTTGACTGAATATAATGACGGCGTCAGGTAAAGTTAATGGTATATACTACTATTTAACGGAATATTCCCTAACGCCGTTAGGGATTCCGTCAGTGTGCCAGGCACGTGCCTGCGCGTGGCCGGCACGTGGGATGTCGGAAAATTATTCTTAAAATATGGCGATGCTCGTGGTGTTGAGTATGCCATGATAATATATTCAAACATCCCAATTGAGCAACGTATGAGAAGTTATTACACGGTTTTGGTATTGGGGTTAAAATTAACGTTAAAATAGTTGTTTCACATATAGGTGAGACGTTTCTGGAGGACGAGCACAGCCAGGCGAGACTCGAGGGTTACGACCCTGCAACATACCAGTGAGTGGGCTTTTGGTTTTCTATATATATATATATTCTTTACATTTTTCCCAGAAATTATTTTAAATGGATTTACATTTTTAAATGCCATGTCAATTGCATTACACTTTAGTATATGTATTAGTATAGATATGCATATTATTGCATGATGCTACGGACGCACAGGTAAGCTTCAGGTGAGTACATATTGATAATAATGATTGTAGTGTGTATGGTTATGTTGAGATACATTTAGTGCTCATTATCCTGCACCTCGGCGTTAGTGCTCCGCCCGAGGCCAGGGCCTAGGCTTCACGTGATCGTTCACCTCCCGCACCACATGCTCACCTTGGATCCAAGGCAGGTGCCAGCCCGTCATACAAACCACATTAAGTGGTTTCGATTTGTAGGTGACTTGCGATTCTTCGCACAACCTTCACGTGATCGTAGCACTTGAGCGTGCCTATTTACACCCAGCCTGTCGTACAGACCACATTAGGTGGTTCTGACTCGTGTGTAGGATTTGGTAGATGAGATATAGGTTCAGTCGTACAGGTCACGTTAGGTGACTCCGGCTGACATATCATTTTACATTGATTTATTCCACCTGGTTTACTTATTTCATTGCTGAGATACTTGACATGGCATATACTTGGTTTTCATTACTCTCGAGCTTCATTTCTATAAATACATATTTATTACTATTTTTTGGGAAATTATACAGGTTTTACGGTGAGGGGTTATTACTTTTGGAAAGAGAAATGGTTTTGAAAAGCTTTGTTTTTGCCCACTCATGTTTTCTGTTTTGCGCCCCTCCAGGTTCTAGGTAGAAGTTCGTGTTGGTGGCTTACGAGGATTCTATGGCGGTTCTGATAGACTTCAAATAATGTAGGAACTTTATTTCTTTCATATTATGTTTAATTAATATTTAGCCTGCTGGACTGCACTTAGGTTACTTATGCTTTGAGTATGTGAATTTATACTTTAAACACCCACACTCATACTTATATACTCACCTAGTGTAAAGTAGCTAGTTTGGTTTTTTTATTTACCCACATTTTCATGTTGCTATCACTTCCGCACTGCACACATGACTACGTCATCCTCACGTGACGGCCAACATGCCTCGATTTAGGTCGGGATGTGTCAATAGTAGTCCACGTATCACTTTTTGAAATTTTTTCTTCTTTCTTAAGTAGAGGTAAAACTATCCTCTTTGAGAGATTTTTGGCAATTAAATTGATTCCCTCAACACCACCATACCACATCACATACTCTTTTTGTTTTTATCAACTTTTTATTCTGGCTACTTAGTGCTACGGTCTAGTGGTATTCCTCTTCACTTGCAAGTGAGAGGTCTTAGGTTCAATTTTTGTCAAATGCGAATTTGAACCACATTATTGCTAGCTCATTGTGAGGCTTAACCTACTTCCCCATTCTTTTAGTGTAGAGAATATCATTTGTTAAAATATATATATATATATATATATATATATATATATATATATATATATATATATTCTTCTGAATGGTTCAATATTTTCTTATTTGACCTAGTGAAGGTAAGGTTAAGAAGAAATTCAAATGCAAAGCCTTTAATTAGTTGAATAACTCAGCCAGCGAAAGGGGACAAACCATATCTAAAATAAAATAAAATAAAGTTGAACTTAATTTAATGTGTTAGTTTTGGGAGTTTGTGGCTTAATAGTGCGATATTAGATAATCTGTCTTCGTCACAGTGGATATAAAAGGTAAGAAATTTCAAAGTGGTCAAATTAGGAAAGGGAAGAAGAGCCCATTCCTCATTGATTTGGTAGAAGCAGCTTGCAGGTTCTTTTCTTTAGGGGATGAAAATGGTACACACTTTGGTGAGATTAATTCTTCGTCAACGATCACATGTGAGCTATCAATCATTTGGTAAAGGAAAAAGGACCACCACAATCAGAAACCCATACATCAAAGTAAATCAGTGAAAACGATAATGAGGGTTAAAAGACAAGTCTCGACTATGAGCAGAAGTCACAGATCCTAGGATCATAGATCACCGATAATAAGTACACGCTGCAAACCCATAAAAAGCTAACAAATTAACAACCTGATTACCTTCTCGATAGTTATGTGCGTAAATAAATCTATCAAAGACACCTAAAAAAATGAGTCATTTATCTAGTGAAACAAATAGAGTTTTAATTCATGTCTTGTTGTGACTTTCGACGCTTTGTAATTTAAAGGTGGCAAGTTTGTGCCCTATGTCATTTTGACACAAATAATCACATTGGATCCATCAAGTAGTATCATGTTTTCTCTTCATCAAGAAATTAAACTATTTGTATCATCTCAATTGATCATACGAGTGCATACTAGACTACATGTTGAAATGGTTACAAGAGCTACCATCAGTCGCTCGTCCCATCGTACGCATAAACCGTCCGCCATCAACAACTGCGATCAATACAACACATATACAACTGACCCTAGCACTCGTTGAACGTTTCACAACCAACAAAGGTGGTCACCATGGCAGTGGTGCATGTGATTCTCAAATTGTACGTGCAATATGCGTGGATCTGCATCAATCACTTTGTTATAAATGTGCGAATTGAATTAAAAGGTCCATCCCCAACGACATTAATTTCGTCACCTCACACACTAATTAACCACAACAGGGATACGACAGCTTCTCAATCATATTTTGCTCAAAGAAAATGCTAACATTGATATACATACATATATATATATATATATATATGTATGTATAGAAACAAAACCTTCTTGAGCATGAACTTGACTTTGATGCATTAGACAAATGTTAATCATAACCAGATGCATGAGGGTTCAACATTATGAATGGTAGGTTTCGTTTTCTCGGGCTACATTATACTTCGGGAAAGTGAGTTCCACACACCATTTTCTCCTCGTGTAGAGTCCTGTTTATTTTTGGTCTATAGTATAGATTGAATCAATCAAAGGAGAATCAAAGTGACATAGGTAAACAAAGTGTGCAGAAATCATTTCTCTATACTTTTGGTTCATGTGGTTTTACTTGTTTCCTATTTCGGTCGTGTCATTTTAATTTTGGGAATTTTAGTTGCGGACCTCGGTTTGATTTGCAATCAAGTCCAAATCATAAATTTCGTTAAATTTATCGATGGAAATTTATAAATGCTCTTAACAATTAAGAGTGAGGAGTAAAGGAAAAGAACCTAGAACTTCTGATGCAGAGGTAAATGCTCTTGACAATTGCGCTACAAGCCCCTTGCTTTTTCTTAACTAGACTTATATGACTTACATTGCTAACTAAACCAAACTACATGGCCAAAATTTTGTGACCTAAAAATTTCTGCAACATTGACATCATATCCTTGCTTTTTCTTAACTAGACTTATATGACTTACATTGCTAACTAAACCAAACCACATGGCCAAAATTTTGTGACCTAAAAACTTCTGCAACATTGACATCATATCATAGTGGTCCCTAATTGCTAGAAAAATAGTTTACCACATTTAATTGATAGCGTTGCTACTGCAAACATAGTACGTATATCAACCTGCCAACCGCAACAAACATTGATGAGTGATGAAATATAGATATCAGTCACATTCTCCTCTCCTACACCCCATTGTCCAAGAAAATTGTAGTCACCCACCTTTCGATCTTTCTCCAAGGGGGATGGTCATCTAATTTTCGTTCTTGTACTTTCTTCTTTACCGTTGGACTAAGATCAGAACGGTGGATGACCACAATTTTCTTGGACCAGAACTCGTAGAGATATATAGATATATGGATATAAAGATATAGAAGTGGTAAAGCCACTGTACCGTGGTTCATTGAATAGCAAGACCAACTCACTGAAATATCTGATTGCACTAGGATAGGCTATCAGAGGGGTTATCACAACTAGCATCTGGTCCTACTGGTAGAATTTGATGCCATCACTTTCCTTTTCCTTCCCATTATTTAATGTAAGAACCAACAACAAATCTTTCAAGGAGATTCTTACAAGCTGTAGCTGCTGTGCAAGATTGGCTGCTCAGAAATTTATTGGGTTTTGTATGAACAATTCAGCCTTGTTTTGTTTCTCGATGATAGATCCGAACTTGGCCCAAAACTGTGAGTATAGATTGACACGGGTCTCCATTGGAGATGGTCTAACAAGACATAGTTTTCTAAAGGGTTTTTCTCCAAACTGTGAACATCTGTCTATATATTGGGCAGTCAATTCAAGCACATTCCAAGTCTCCCGTAAGTTAGCGTTACAATCACCAACAGGACAAAGAATGCAAGCAATGGGTGAACATATAAATCCAAAAGAAATTTAAACAGGTATTCATGAATTTCGTTTCTTGAACTTTTGAAGCAGAGAGAGAGTTCTAAAGCTGTTAATTGAGAATACTACTCACGTAAAGCAAATTAGCGGCTACCGTGCATGATACATGAAAAGTGTGAAGGTTTTTCGTTTCAATTTCCGAAGAACAAGTATCAGTATTAAGGGAAATAGAGAGTTTGCAGACAAGAACAAAGTAATTTAGACTTCACTTTTTGTAGGCATCCCATAGGATGCCTAGATCTACATTACCTCCAGAAAGTATAATTCCGATGTTGCTGCAATCCTTCCAAGCAGAATTTTTCTTGAAACTTTTGGACAAAACAGCAGCAAGGCCTATTGCTCCACTGGGTTCTACTGCAACCTTCAAAATCTCGTAACAGAGTTTCATAGCATTTATTATCTCCTCGTCATTTACAGTTATAACGCCATCGACAAGATCTCTCACAATGGGCCTGGTTCCAGTGCAAAGAAAGAAAGAGTTAAGGCAAATTGCTAACTATGAGTAGAAGCTCATTAATACTGAGCATTATCGACAAGATGAAGATAGATTTCTAATGAACTGCTTGGATAAAATGTGATCTTCCTTTACCAAGTAAGGTCTCCAAGAAAAGCTCGAAGCCCATCTGCAACAGTGTTGGTCTCAGGCAATGTTATTATCCTCCCAGCTGATTTGGATTGAGCTGCATCGTTAGCACCCTCAGGTTCAGCTGCAAAAATTCGAATCGCGGGGTTGATGGACTTGGCGGCCAAAGCCACCCCTGATATCAAGCCACCTCCTATACAGACAGATATACATAAATCAATACTACTACAAAGATTAAAAGTCAACAACAGAATATTCAGGAACAAAAGTGAACTAATCAAACAAATTTTATGATTATATGTAACTAAACCAACCGCTTATGGGTACTATAATGCCGTCTAACTGCGGAACTTGTTGCTCCAGAAGCTCCAGTGAAATGGTACCCTGCCCACTGCAAGAACAGTTAAACTTAAACATGCCATAAAGCCCTAATCTCATTAGTTACGTTAAGGAATGTTACTGTTTTCCAATACGTCAATACGTAGTATAGCATTGTCTAGCAGCATCTAATGGATTAACCTACAAGGAACAAGTTTCGCTAATGCATCTGAAATTATTTAAGTAATAGTAATACTTGCCGAGGAGTAACCAGGGTAGTACATCGCCATGAAATTCAAGGGAACGGCTATTGGTGTTTTTCCGAGAGAAAATATGGGAAACGCAATACTACCAGCAGTTTCACAAATCATAATATGATTTTGATTCGGTTCTTTAAGTAAACACACACTCTTACTGTAAAGCAATCTGTTTAAGTTGTCTTTATTGTGCATCAGCTCATTAGAATTTCAACATACATTTTACGTTTCAATAACATTTGCACAGAACAAGCCTATCTTTGAGCAAAAGATTCATGTTCTTCCCTTATCATAGGCGAAATTTCAAACATAAGTGATTAAATGCAAATAAACTGAGGTCAATTTGTACCTTATTATGCGCCTATCATTGTAAGGATGGAGAAGAAGTGCGCCAGTTTCATGCAACACCTTAGCTGCTGTACTTTCCCTTGACTGCATAGTGGCCTCACTCCAGATAACCTGACCACCGTAACGAATGACATTCTCAACTTTGCAGTTGGGAGCATTTTTTGGTATAACTATGTATGCAGGGATCCCCCGTAGTTTTGCAGCCAAAGACAATGCTGCAGCATGGTTACCACTAAATTCGGAGGACAAAATCAGGGCGTAATCAGACAAATTGGTTAAGGAAAGTAGCGATGACACGCAAATGAGCGGAAATCAAACCTGCTGTGTGTTACAACCCCCTTAGCAGCCTGATCATCATCAAGTGAAAACACGGCATTGCAAGCGCCTCTGAATTTGAAAGCGCCACTGCATAGGCAGGCACATAGATTACCCTAATGAAATCCAAACCAAGTTACGAAAGAAAAGAAGACACGCATACGCATGATTGAGTGCGAAGTAGAGTCTCACCCCTTCTGTAAACATTCGCATTTGAAAAAAAGGCGTCTTCCTGAAAGAGCATTGAGGGATTCCGAGGTCAAGACCGGAGTTTTGTGCACGAATGGCTCGATGCGTGCTTGCGCTTCCTTTATAGAGGAAATATCAGCAGCATATTTCGTCTCCGGCATTTGACTCCCTGCTTCCATCTCTATCCCAACACCAACAGAGTCTTGATTTTGGAGCTGGATTGCAAAATTGACATGGAATTCACAAAATTCAAGTTGGATATTTAGAAAATTGACAAGTAGTGCGAGTATTTGGAGTTTAAACTCTCAACAACTTACGGTGTTCGTTGGCCAAATATTCCAGAAACGCAGATTGCTCACCTCTTCTACTTCCACACTTCCAGAGTTCATATGTTGCTATGCCCAGAACCCCTGTACCCACCCCCCGCCTGCCTACGGTGTTGACAAAGGAAGAACAAGTAGACAGGTCGCCGACGGTTTGAGCGTAGGTGCCAGTTTCAGTGGCTGGTTTGGTTTAATTTTTCTAATTTTCACGCCCTAATCAGATTATTAGTTTCCGTGATAAAATGATAGTTCTATGATATAAAAAATTAAAATTTAACCTCCTGTTGTAAAGTTTATTAGGACTTAGACATAAAATTAAAAATTATATAAACTTTCTGTTAATTATTAACACATGAGCCATACATATAAGGCTAAAATCGAAGCCGCATGTGTAAGTCTCATGTGCTATTTAAAGGAGAGTTAAAGGCATTTTCAATTTTTGGTTTAAATCCTAACGGATTTTACTACAATGACTTAAACCTAATTTTTTTAACCACATACGCTATTTTAATATTATCCTCACAAGGGAACTATTAACCCAACTAAGTTAATTTTCAAGGCTAACAGAGTTATAAAAGTGTTATTAAGAGAACACGTGTCCAAACTATAAATTTTGTGACAGGCTGGGCACATCGTCATTTGGCACAGCAGAAATAAGCAGAGCACGCCAATGAAGTTGTTTGTGGATAAGCAACGGGCATCATCTTCCCCAAAAGTCAATAAAAACGACACCTGAAAGGGTTTTGTGAATTGGAAGTTCCTAAAAACAAATATTGTTGTTTTATGGAAAGGGATTTGGGGGAATCCGGGCCATTAAAGTTTAATCAAACGGTTACAAATAGGAGTTAATTTTAACTGTTTGATCAAATTTCAATGGCCTGAATCTCCGAACTTTTTAGATTTGGAGAAAGGGATCCGGAGGGAAACCATTTTCTTGTTTTATAACCTAAAAAGCATTTTAGACTTTTTGTGCATAACGCTTGCAAAATAGAAATGCTACAAAGACTCTCTCGAAGTGAATTTTTTTATGGAATTTTTGTCACCTTATAGTTCATATACCAATATTATAAAACATTGTGCTAAAAATATGAGGTGGTAGAGAGTCTATGGAGAGTCTCACTTTTGAAAGAGTCTCTTTAGTATATCTCTTTTTAGAATTGATAATTCAAAAAGTGATTCGCAAATGAAGAGCTTGTTTGAAAGTGCTTTTAAATTAAAAGCGTTTTCTGATCACAAAAATCACTTATGACCACGTTTGTGGAAAAAAAAAACACTTTAGAAGAAGCACCTACTATGTGTTTTTTTTTCTTCGTGAAACCAAAATGTCAACATGCTTCAAATAGATGCGTTTTTATTGAAAATGCATAAGCATAAATGTTTTTAAAGAAGCAATTTCAAACAAGTATGAAGTCTATGCGTTCAGTTCGACGATAAAATGTTTGTCAGCTATGCTTCCAAATTCTAATTTGTTAAACCATAGTTGAAAATTCTAATTTGTTTGCCAAAAGAACTTGGCCTCTTGACACACCCCGATCCGGAATGTCCACTTGGACTCTGAATCGAGTTGTGCTGGCCGACACCTGGAAGGTGACGAAACCATAAAGTGTAGTGTGGTGGAATATGTGAATAAATTTAACCTAAAAGTGCTTAAATATAAGAATGCGTTTTGAGCGGGAATGAACCCATTTCATACATGATGTCAGAGCATAAGTACATTACAGTAAAATAGGGTGAGAATTATACCATAAGGTAATCATCTACACCAGCCAAGAATCCTCGTTGATAAGAAAGCTCAGCTACTAAAACCTAGAGGGGTGAAAAATAAGGATGAGTGGGCCTGAAAATATAGTTTTAATAAAAACATTTGAAACTGTTATAACCCCTCGCTGTAAAACATGTATAGTTTCCAAGATTTACATACTAAATATAGTATGAAAATACTCACCGTAGCCTGCAAAATATTAAGATATCAATACGGCACAATAGTTCTTATATAAGTGCATGACGTCAGTAATCATATACTTTCGCATAAGCAAACATATCAAACTAAGTGCTCATCGACATATGTTAACACACAAGTTCATGCAAAGTTATTATGACATGAGCATGACTGAGTGTAATAATGATATACGCTCTAGTGCTACAATAACTTGAAGACTGGCGCTATTTGCGGTCACATACGAGTCGGAGTTGCCTATTGCAACCTGTACAACATGACTGGCACTTACTTGGATTCAAGGCGAGCTTGCGGTGCGGATGTGAACATACACGTGAAAGACTGGCCCTGGCCCTGGGCGAGCACTAACACTGGTGCAACAAATGATGAGCATAAAATATAAATATTGTTTGTACCATACTTGACCCATCTAGAAACTACTGAGCATCGGTCAATACCGCCAAGGATCCACAATAATCTCTCTCCAACCAGGAGGTCAATCACAGCGCGACACATGTCGACATTAAAGGCCAATCATAGTGCAACACGTGTCAACATCAGAGGCTAATCAAAGCATGACACGTGTCAAAGTCAAAACAAAGCTAGAGACTCTCTTCTATAAAAGGAAATCATTCTTTCACAATATTTCCTAATGTCATTTGTACTAAATCATTCACTATAACTCACTAAAGGAGACCTTGAACCTATGTACTTGTGTAAACCTTTCATAATTAATGAGAACTCCTCTACTCCGTGGATGTAGCCAATCTGGGTGAACCATGTACATCTTGTATTTGCTTCTCTGTTTCTGTCCATTTACATACCTATCCATACTAGCGACTGAAGCAATCTAGCGAAGGTCACAAACTTGACACTTTCTGTTGTACCAAAGTCCTCACTAATTTTGTGCATCAACATTTGGCGCCATCTGTGGGAAACATGTTGGAAATGTGCCCTAAAACCAATCATATGATGATACTTTACGGACATTTCACATGTTAAACTAATCTAGTTTAATATCAAGGGCATAGATTATTGTTTTAAGCCGTCTCATATAAATGTTATATGCTTAAACAATAAGTCCAAGGAATATGTGATTGGGAGAATACGATCTAAAGAAGTTAGATTCATGAGACAATTCTTTCGTAGACACATCTTAAATGTTCCTGATCATAGGATTGCCAATTGGGCATTGACAGTCCGTTAAGATCAGTACGTACTGTGTCTTCTCTCAGGGAGAGTTACTAGTCTCGAGTCATTGGTGTGTGTGACATCAAGACAAGTACGTAGGTGCTCAATAGAGAATGAGTTCACTGAACACGATCAACGAAGAGTTCTCATATTCATGTCACATGAGAACTCATGGTTGGGATAATGCAAAGTAGTCCTTTGACCTGAGGCATCATAGATGTCTAATGGTTAGGTCCTTGATCTTTGATCATGTCAAACGGCATTCCATTGGAGTGTCCACGGCATTGTTGGGGTCAAGCTATCTAGTCATGTAGGCATATGAATGCGCAACAAGGGATCTCTAACCTTCAAACCGTTTGAGGGAGAATACTCTATGATATGATTAAGAATCTTTGGCCAAAGTATGAATGAGATTTAGGAAAGCGTTCCAAATCACATTCAAGGTAATCATATAAGCACACGAATCACATTGGATAGTAGACATGAATAAATAAACTATCAAACCAAACAATGTGGTCAAGAGTATTGTATTAGAGAAATACCGTATTGCATTTGTAATCCTAAACTGAATAGGTTCTCCACCTCTTCTGATTAGCTTGGGTAACCATGATATGCTGCTAGGTGTCACTCATGGTTTGTGGAAGCCCTAAACGTGTGTAATCACTAAAGGGAGAATTGAAAGTAAGTTTCAATTCACAATCGATTTGAAAGAGTTTTAATCGCCCACTGCCTCGCTAAAAGGAACCTAATGGATCGTACACCGTGTAAGGTGAAGATTGAAGAAACAATGGAGATGAGTAAGAATGATTAAATGGTTTAATTATTTATTAATGGCAAGGATTAATTAATATGTTAATTAATCAAACGAATAAGTTCGTTAAAGACCTCGGGATAGTTTTTGGACCTTAAGGCCCAATGGGCTTCGAACGTCAAGCCCATTGACTTAAGTTGTATGACAACTTAATGACTAAATATTCACAAAGGCCCAAACAACCCAAATACACCCTAAGGCCAGCCATATTGTTAAGGGTGGTGAACTTGGACTTATTTACAAGTTTGCCACTCAAATGAATAAAGGTATAAATATGACTTTATAGCCAAAATTCATTTAGGGTTTGTTTTGGAGAAAATTGGAGAGAACATGTCTCTCCATTTCTCTCTAAAGAGGTCGGCCCCTTGGAGGGTGCATCTAGCAATCCCACTACTCCAAGGTCACTCATTTCTTCTCCAATCTAACCTTGGTGAAGAGACTTAGAGGTTCTCAATTTTGGGAACTTGGAGAAACCTTTTCATCCATCCAAATCCATAGATTTAAGATGCAAGGAATGAAGGCCCTCTCTTTGGGTGATTAGCCTTTGCTTATGCAAAGAGGAATCTACAAAGGTATAAATCTCAACTCACTTTGTTTTGAGTTGATTAATGGTTCACCAATCTACTAGGCTTTGAATTTTATGGTTAATGTTTTGTTTTTGAATGCATGCAAGCATGATTCCGCCTTTTAATTGTTAAATGCATGCTATAGATGTTATTCAAATGAACATGTTTTCACAAAATATTCCTTCAAAACACACTTATTCCTACTCTCTTCAGCTTTGTCAAGCTGGTTTCCACCATTCGTATACTCTCTTTTGACCAGGTATCCCTCTCCAACAAGGGGAGTGAAGGAAGCCATATCACACAGAACGACACCCCCTCGCGCCTAGTGTGAGGTTGCGAAAGAATGAACGAAAGACGCTCGTTCTTCAAGCTAAAGTCGAGGAGCTGGAGGCTTAGAACAACAAGATAGCAATAAAGAATGAGATCTTCCAGGAACAATATGAGAAGCTCTTCGACACGCTCCAAGAAACTAGGCGTACTCAAACATGAGAGCTTGTTGCCCCTGTGGACATCAACCATCATCTGGGTGCCCCCAACATTGAGGGTCACCTTCCTTCGACATGGGTATCCCTGATGAGGAGCGAGCTAATCATTAAAACATTGATCAACATGAAACTTCTCTCAACCCAACTGCTTCGACTCAAAGTAGAAGAAGTGGAGGAAGACACCTCTTTGCAGAAGGGTTAGAATGATCGAAAGCCGTTTATCGTGACTGTCGAGACTTC